GCGACATAAGATTTTCCAGTGTTTGACGACTTAGAAGTCTTCGAAAAACAGCCGTTTCTCATATTTTGACGAAATCAATCAAAAATGCTAGAAGGCATTATACGGATAGGATCAATAATGATGGTGGATCATATCCGAGGCATTCAATTTTTCCGTTCTGAGGTCTAGGAGTGCACAAAATTGTGTGAGCATTCAGATCTTTGGTCAATTTTCAGTCCAAAAAATTTCGACAGCCGCAAAATTGCCTACTCCTGACTGAAAGATGTGTTCGAAATTTACGCGGCGATATGCTTGATCACTTTACTCTTATCTGTACTCTTATCAACTTTACTGACTTTACTTTCGTGTACTGTAACCATTTAGAAGAGGAATATAGATAGGTAAAATAGAATTGAGCCTTAAGACAAGTTGGGTCCAACAGATGAGTTCCTCTAAGGTCGTAAATTTACCCTGGTTGACTCATCATCTGTTTACGAGGCTACGACGAATGCCAAGAAGGTTGAACCGTCTGTAAAAAAAAGCTTGTGGAACGGTATGCAAATTATGCATCAAACACTTATCGGTAAAGATTAGAAGAATTTAAGGCTGATTAACTTGTTGATTAGTTTCAGTGAGAAACCGTAGTTAGTCCAATTTTTAACTATTTCATTATGGATCTAGATATCATTTTTAAAATTATCGTTTTTCCCCATCAAGCTCGTTGAGATCGTTTTTGAACACTGCTATCTTGATCTCGAAAAAATTAGTAACTTTGGATTTGCTTTAGGAAACCTAAGCTTAGAAGAATTTTTACGCAGAAAAAAAACTAAGACGCTTTCATTGTCTAGGCGATCGTTTGAGCAGAAAAATGAGGATTATGCGATTAATGACCTGAGAATTTTTCTTCTAACATTTTCGAAAGTTTCGAAGAAAAGTCCAAATATTCGTATTTAAATCGTTTATATTCCAGATATGAAATTTTTTCTGGTGCTAACAATTTTCTTCGCTATTGTGTTGTCTATAAATGCGCAATGGGGCTACGGACCATGGTATAATTCCTACTTCGACCGCGATTATGACGACTATGGTTTCTACGGTCCTCGTTTCCATTATGGCTATAGACCTTTTGGTTATAACCCTTACGGCTATGGATTTTACGGCTCTCAAAACCCTTTTAGGGGTGCGATACATGGAGCCTTAACCGGAGCTTTGCTTGGTGCTTTGAACGGATGATCTATTTTCGTCGTTCCTTGCATGACTGTGATATTATCGTTTCTAATAAATTAAAGTTTTGCAATTGCTTACATGTTCAGATTCGTTGATCTTTTAATCGTACATATACGTCATACATATATATGGATTACACTCAAATCTGAGAGTTCCGGGGTAGAAAGAAGGAAATTTTACATAATTTGGAAACTTAATTCTCTTCTTTTTATTTTGAAAAAAATTATGCCGCGAAGTTATTGAATAAACAAATCTTATATGTACCACTAACTTATTTCTAAGTCGAGCAGTCTTTGGCTTCCCACATAAATCTAAGCGAAACACACTAATCCAAAAAAAGGAGAACAAAAAGTTTAGCATAAAACGTCAAGTATGCCCACAACACTTGAAAATTCTCTAATATTCCGAGTCTTAATCAACAGCATTTCCATAAATAAAGTGTTACGATCAGTCTATCCAAAAAAATAAACACAGATATTTGCAACTGCCGCACGAGCTAAACCAAAACAGAAGACAGCAGAAAAGGGTAATTTCCAGCAGGTCAAAATTAGTCTGTGAGGGCCTCAAGGAATGAAAGAGCACTGAAGGTGACCCTAAATTCAAATAAACTATTTATCAATTTTACAGCCAGTGACGAGCAAAGGTGATTTATATATTGCTTGTTAAGTGTGAAGGAGCCTGATTTGCTGACTGCTATATCACTGAAGAATGGATGTATAGAGCTTAGCAAACTCAAGAAGCACCGATAATGGAGAGATATCGATTTCGAGCCGATTTAAGCCACAGAGCATAATTAGGCAAGACTGCAATCGAGCTTGGAAGGGCAAAACCTTATCACAACAAGTTCCGTAGAAAGAAAATCCTTGCACAAGCTTTACTTTGAAAACAAAAATCATAAGCTTTTAGTGAGGAGTTTGATTTGCTCAATAAGCATCCGTATATCCTATTAGTTCATTAGTTCGGTAGATAGGTGCACAGATCATATCTTACAACTTTATTAATTTTCTGAACAGATCGTGAGTGTAAAACTTTATTTCTAAAACATCAGAAAACGTTTGACATCAAGCAAATTAATTACCCCTACCAAACAAAGCTAGAAAAAAGTTGGGTTATTAGCATTTAACCAACGCTAATACTGTACATATACTGTAATCTGTCATATTTATCAAAATATGCGCAGATGACGCCAAGTTATGCGGTCAAACACAGCACATTTCATCGCCAAGAATAAAATCATCAATAATGGGTGAAATCGTTTTCAGGAGATTACATTTTTCAATATTTTAAGAAAAGTTTTGGAAATGGCTGCGTTGATCAAGTGGAGAATGAGTCAAGGGCGGGTCTATCCCAAGGCAATATATTCTGTAGAAAATAGCTGAATCTTATCGAGCGCAGCATTCTGTGCTCTAAAGCGGATATTTGAGGAATTCGAAGCAAATTTAGACTGTTGTTTGGGAAACCAAAGGTATCAGCAAAATTAGTATTAAAATTAGTAAACATAGGCTGAAATTTTGAAGTAGGAAATTTTATGACTTCAAATACTCAAGAGCTTCAAATAAAGTTGTAAC